AGAGCCCCGGCCCGGGGCCCGCGGCCTCCGCTGGAGCTTCACAGCTGGATCCTAACCCGGGCCCCGCCGGAGTCGGCAAGTCCGCTTCCAAGCCCAGCAGGTCGTTGATGGCGAAGCTTCGAAGGCGAGAGCCGGTGGGAGGACAGCCTGGAGCCAAGGCTCTACTCCTAGAGCGCCCATCCGAAAGCCCGTCCCGTCCAGTCATGCTTCTAGGCTTTCTAGGCCAGGCGAGGGAGGTTGAGTCCCTCTTGGTTACCTGTGCAAAGGAGGCTAGCTCGGGCGACGCTTTTTTATGCTGGGGAGGCTGTCCGTGACACCTACACCGCCCAGAAGGCGCCAATCAGCAGGGAGAGCAGACGCATCCTGCCTCCCACCAGAGGTGCAGACGCCACCAGCTCCCCTCCCCTGAGTCGTTGGCCTCCCAACTGCGGTCCCCCAGTCACCTCTTTTCTCTCTCCAGCTGTCCCTTACCCACCCCACCCCCATGTTCTGGGAGAAGAGAAAAAGTGAGCAACAAGGGCTGCGTTGTCTGCCCACCCCCATGAAACCCACAAGTTCCACATCCTGATGGGTCTCCCTTCTGAACACTCCTGGCCTTCCAAAACCGTGCACACGCCCCACTCTCCCGTAATACCTTGGGCGGGTTCCCTACCACACCCCCCTCACTACCACCCAAACCACGTCGGCAGCCCCTACAGCTCCAGCGCCCAGGCTGAAAATCCCTGGACGAAAGAAGCTGTGACATTTTGTATTTAACTCGAGGCCGGCCACTCTCACTCCAGCCAAACAGTAGAATGCAACAAATTCGCAAAATCGCAGGAGCTGCGAAAGGCGAAGAGAGAGGAGGAGTGGCAGATGTGGACGATGAGGGCTAAGAGCGTGGCCAAGATTAACAAAAATACACGCAGCCTGGTGAAATTTTAATTTCACGCAAGCAATGGATATTGTTTTACTAAAACAATGTACCGGTTATTTGATTCAGCAATCCTAAATGGATGGGGAGCTTGGAATAAACAGGTCCATCTATTGAGACTCCTCACTGAGACTAACAAATTACCGTCCAGTTTTATTATTATCCAAAGACAACCTGATTGGCTCGTAGGAATTTCATATTTGTTGAGATTAGGACTAATTAAAACTCGTGAGCAAGCCACTCCTAGCTCAGACTCCGCCCAGACGCCCATCCTTTCATGGGACCCTGCTCTCCTGCGGTTCTCAAAATCGCCCAGACAGCGAGCGAGCTAGCGGCAACCTGGAGACCTAGATCTATAGGACATGGCAGCCACTTCCTCCGCGTGGGACCGAGTCAGAGCCCTCCACAGCACGTCTCCCTTGCTGTCTTCGCTGTGTGAGGGGCGCCACCACTAAGCCAGAGGATTAAACAAGGGGCTCTAAGAAAGACAATGACAAGAGGCTGCGTATTAACTTTCCATTATTAAAGGGAGACCCAAATCTCCCCTCTAAGCTGTTCCCCTGGATTAGCAAAGCAGTAACTTTCCTTCAGGGTAATTGTCCTGAGTTGCTAGCAGGAGGGAAGCGTGGTTGTAGGGAGAAGTCCTTTTCATCTCTACTAGGAATGTTGCCCAAAATTCACCTTTGGATTTAGAGGAAGACATCAGAGATACTGAGCCCTGCCAACTAGCAGCATATTGGTTTGCAAATTTGGGCTCACAGTTAAGAAAAATATCCAGGAATCCACTCTTGTAGTCTGTAGCCTTGGTAGGTGATTCAGCCATGGTCACCTGCAAGTAGAAGAGGCCCCAGCGACCTTGCCGCAGAGGTCCAAGTCTTAGGGCCTCCCTCTCCTAGGTTCTGCCTTAGGAGGTGTACGGAAGGCCACTGAGATGACAGACTCCCCACACCCCAAGTAGATGCCAGAGATACAGAAAAGCCGAAAGGTAGGAGATGGGAGGAATGCCTGATCTCAGGCTCTGGTGACAGCTCAGAGCACATCTGTTTTTAACCCGCTGAGAAAGATCTTACCAAATCAACCCATTTGCAGATGAGAGGTTATTCATCAAATGGTCTCGTGGAACACAGGAGGGAAATGGAGAAAGTGAGGCAGAGCGTAACTGAGAAAGGAGCCCGGTCAGGGATGTGAGGGTTTAGGGATCCTGCTATTCCTGAACAGAGACACCCCAATATTGCCTGTTTCACAAATGGCAGAATGAACGGAGCCTGCAGGGACTCTGGCAGGAGAGCTGGAACTCTGGGCGCCTTAATGGCAAGGCAAAGTGATATCAAGGAATCCTTTCATGCGGCCTTCAAGATGGCTCAGAGGATAAAGGTGTTGAGCCCACCTTTAGTAGTAGAAGAGAGAACCTACTCTCTCAAGTTGTCCTCCGACTTTCAAGTGCACCCCTGGCATACATGCTGAGCAAATCCAGAACTACTGCTAATCATCCACCTCGCAGAGGCAAAGACAGAAGACCAGAGAGAGGGTAAGAGACTTGGAGAGAGAGCAAGAGAGAGAGAGAGAAAGAGAAAGAGAGAGAGAGAGAGAGAGAGAGAGAGAGAGAGAGAGAGAGAGAGGAGCCAAGTCAGGGGCTGATTGGTTTTCAGCCCCCTTCCTACTAAGGAACCTATGCCACCGCACCACCACTGCAGCAAGTCCAATATCTGGCACCAAATGATGGAGATACAACAGCAGGAGATGGGAAAGTGCTTTACTCAAATGTCTTCAAAAGTGGAAGAAATCACCTCCAGTAGTTTAAGAGACGGGGCACTAGAGATGGCTCTGCCCCTGAGCCCACCCACACTGTATGTCCACCCTATCTCCAGGCTGATAAAAACGTGGGCTGAGAGGTTTGCACCTCACCTTGATGCTTTGGCAGCCTGGTGTGGACTCCTCTTGGCCTCCTCTCACCTTGTGCAGATCTAGAGCCAATGTCTGCTGCCTCTGCCACCCCCTTTGGAACCCTAAATCCATTAAGGAGTCCAGATCCGCCTTCATCAGCCAGGATTATCTGGGATTTAACTAATCAAACTTTTCCCTCTCATTATTAACAGGGAATGTTTCCAGACCCTCTCTGATGCCAACCACAAACGTGCCAGTCCAGCGTTTCTCCTATGTGCCCGGTTTAGGTTCATTGTAGCTTTCCTAGAATCAGGCTGGGCTTTGTCCACTTGGGGCTGGTTCACAGAAACTCCTCCTCATCTTTTCAGAGCCGCTGCTGGCCTGGTTGGCTATACAAAATCCTCAGATGTAACAGGAGTGGGATACAGTGTGGGGTGCTCATCTGCTTCTCTGCTCCTGGTTAAAATGTTGATAGAGTCCAGTACATTGGCTCATGCCTGTAATTCCAGCACTTGGGATGCTGAGACAGGAAAATCACGACTCATTGGAGACCAGCAGGTCGCCTGAGCTACAGAGTAAAAAAAACCTGTCTCCAAAAAAAAAAAAAAAAAATCAAACAAAAAAGTTGTGGAAGAACTATTTTTCTTGTTCTTATCCCTTTCCTTGGTCAGTTTGTCTGCCCTCCTCTTAGTGCCCCACCACCACTGCCACCACCGCCACCCACATCCTCAGTTCCATATCTTTTCCTGGGGATTCCCCTGGCTTTGAGTCCACCTTGCTAGCTAGCCACGTGGGAAAAGCATGAGCAAGTTCTGAAAAGCCCTGGATCACAGAACAACAGAAGTGGATTATACATTTTCTGTTCTGCCACAGACATGTACAGTGCACTCTACTCTGTCTCTGCAAGGTCCTGGTAGGTCTGTCCCCAAGGTCCTGGGAGGACTATCTCCAGGGTCCTGGGAGGAGTGTCCCCAGGACTTTTCCCAAAGTCCTGGTAAGAGCCACCAGCTGCTAAGAATGCAGAACTAGGCTTTTTGGTGGCTCTTCTCCATTGTTGGAGACTGTGGGGATGGGGTTTGGAGATAGAGAAATGGGTCTTCCTGAAGCAATCTGGAGGTTCCAGTCACACAGTATAACTATCTGAATTGCGCAGAGCCAGGGTTTGAACCCAAACAATAAGAACTGGAAGCCCGACCACTAGCAACCCTGCCTCCCTCTTCAAATCATCTACGAGCAGGAGTCCTCCCTCCCAGGCTATCACCACACTTTGGATCAAGGACAGTCTCTCCCTACTCTCTACCTGGGAACATCTGGGTCCATTTTCCCAATGAACAATTTCACACAATCCCTGTCTCAGGCTCTTCTTTGGGGGAACCCAAGTCTAGACTGTCCACAGCAAGCTCTGGACTAGGGTCCAGTGTTGATCTGATAGTGCTGTGGGTGCCTTATTCTTCAGCATTATCCTCTGAATTGAACCTAAGAAAAGTTTACAAGGTACAGGAAGCTCATAGAACTTACAGGGAGCAGGAAGCTCAGAAAGATACAAAGTTTATAAGATGGATGCATCTTCAGAAGTCAACACCCATTCTGGGTGGGCTTTTCAGTGGTGCAGCTGCTTTGTAAGCAACCTCTCACCATGTGCTTATCCGCAACCTCAACAAACTCATTGGTTTACCAAGCGAGATTTGGGTAGAATTCTTTTCTTTGGTCTGTAGTCATTGCCATTTATTCATGTCTTCCCAGGAAAAGTCATGAAACAACCAAGTGAATGAGTCCTAGGTGGATTGGTATGAACGGTGGGCAGTAATCTGATCCAGCTTCCTAGAAGAACTTCAGCTTCCCTTCATTTATTCTTCTGGTCCCCAAGAGAATCTCACACCAAATTCTGAGCCCGCTTCCAAGGGCCTGAGAAATCTGAGAGCATTACTTCCTGCCTTCTGTAGTCCCAAGATGAAAGGAAAAAGAAAGATGTTGTATCCAGTCTTCCTCTATACTACCAGCCAGCTCCCAAATAAAGACATGAAGACTTCTTATTGATTATGAACTCTTGGCCATTAGCTTAGGCTTATCCAACTAGCTCTTGTAACTTAAATTAACCCATTTATGTTTATCTATGTTCTAGCATATGGCATTACCTCTCTTCTATCCTGTACCTCATGTTTTCTCTCCTTGTCTCCTGGCATCTCCACCTTTCTCCTTCTCAGAGTCCTCTCTGCCTGTGGAAGTCCCACCTAACCTCTTCTTGCCTAGCTATTGGCCATTCAGCTCTTTATTAAACCAATCAGAAGGCACCTTGGCAAAGACACCTCTTCACTGTGTAAACAAATATTCCAAAACAGATGTGAACAAATAGCAATGACTACAGACCAAAGAAAAAAATTCCACCCAAGTCTCGTTTGGTAAACCAA